TCACGGCAAAACAAACTAAACTCACGGCAAAACAAACTAAACTCACGGCAAAACAAACTAAACTCACGGCAAAACAAACTAAACTCACGGCAAAAGGCAGTAAACTCACGGCAAAAGGCAATAAATTCACGGCAAAATAAACTTAACTCACGGCAGAATAAAGAAAGCCACGGCAGAATCAGAGGAGGATGATCAAGTCGCGTGAAGCATTGTGGAGTAAACGTTTCATTATGCTTCATTTGCATTTGACCGTCGTTGTGTGAACATCTCCTGGCGAGAAAGTATTATGAATGCCAAATCTGTCTCACCGGTTTGGTATGGATTTTCTTGCAGTTGGTGATTTCCTATATCTACACTGTGTGTACTTTCAATTTCTACATACTTGTACGGTGAAGTCTCTGCCATTTATGGCGATAAAACTAGTTGGGGGCCACGTTAGCTTCACTGGCAACCCTCGCGAACGAAGGATTGTTTTGTTTCCTGACTGCCAAAATATCTGAGAACTAAATGACGAAAGGTGGCCTTTGACCATAAGGGCTGTTACTTGCCTCAAAATGTTGCTAAGTGGTGGATATTTCATTTGATAACTTTATTCAAACGCGATTGATTGAGCTAGAACATCGAGCATCCAAAAACCGATCGGCTTGGAATCACATACCCGGCTACTAAGATGACAAACGTCCTTGAACCGATTTTTCTCTTCAAAAATATCTCCTAAAACCATTCATTTCATTACATACATTCATTTTTTAAAATAAAATTATTAAAATTATTTCTTGTCAAGCTTAGGTTCTTATCATTGAAACTTTTTGTTTTGGAATAATTATAAAGCGTTCTTATTGTTTCAGGGTCAATATTGAAGTCTAAAGTCTTTTAAAGGTTATGATAAATTGATAAACTTTGCATTCTAAATTTAATAGTATTTAACCAGACGCCATTCGTATTTACAACATCAAAACCGTTGACAAATTGCTCGCGGTAAAAAAAATCAACAGGGAACCAAATACGTCGTTGCCCATCACAACCTTTATTGTATTCTGCCGTGGCTTTCTTTGTTCTGCCGTGGCTTTCTTTATTCTGCCGTGAGTTTAGTTTATTTTGCCGTGGCTTTCTTTATTCTGCCGTGAGTTTAGTTTATTTTGCCGTGGCTTTCTTTATTCTGCCGTGAGTTTAGTTTATTTTGCCGTGAATTTATTGCCTTTTGCCGTGAGTTTAGTTTGTTTTGCCGTGAGTTTAGTTTATTTTGCCGTGAGTTAAGTTTATTTTGCCGTGAATTTATTGCCTTTTGCCGTGAGTTTAGTTTGTTTTGCCGTGAATTTAGTTTGTTTTGCCGTGAGTTTTTGTTTTGCCGTGAGACTTGTGGGCCACCGTAATTTCGAGTCAAATTTTGTAACCGCAATTATTGGATCACGCAGTTTCAAAGCATCAGAAATAGGGAAATTCAATTGAAATAATATATTTTATCTTATTAGATGATTGTTAACTGTATTTCGATAATAATTACATTAAAATATAAGAAGTGGGGGCAATAGAAACATGATTTTCAATTTTTGTGGTTTGGCCGCCGTTTGTGCCCCTCAATAGGACAAAGATGGCGGACCCATACATGTCATCTAAATTATGGGTATAATAAATCGCTCGTACCTCCGTATCTAAGACTTCTTTTAGCTAGCAGTTTGGCTGAGATATACAATTTTAGTTGCTCTTTCGGTCTGTGGAGGTCGTGTTGTATATAAGTCTTTGGAAAATTTTCGATGACGTAGGTGAAAGCCAAGAATTTTACTAACGGTTGTCAACACCGTCGTAGATTTTGAAAAGCTTAAAAGGTCGCTGTTGTGTTGCCTAGCAGGGTAACGTCACATATTTAATGCTTAATAGATTAGAAGATCAAAACAATTGTTGAAGAAGGTAAAACATTCCACTCAGGCTGAATATTACGATAAACATCTTGCACTATTAAGTCGAATAATATCTTCCTCAAGATAAAGATATGTTCCGTTCTGTTCCTTTCTTAGTTCTTTTTTATCCACTGCCTTCGAATTCCTGATTCTGTTATACCCTTTTCAAAGAGGCTAACTTGGAAATGTGAAAGAATTGCCACAAATGCCGTTGATTGAGGCTGAGCTTTATTGAAAACTGAGGAAGTCTTATCGGCCAACTGTTGAGCAGTTCTGGAGAAATGAATAGACCCGTTTCGAATTCCAAATTACCGCCGTGTTTCTTGATTACAGACTCATTTGCTCAGGCTAAGCCTCGAATCAGTGTCTAATTACTCACAAATACCAACATTAAAGTAAAGAATGCACAAGTTCAACAGTACGAACACTTTGAAACCCAAACTTCAACTTATCATTAATACAACACAACAATGCCCCCCCTCCCCCCTTAGAAAATCCAAATTCCTTCCTAAACTATTTCATAATCTTTATTAAATCAGCAACTGAATGCAGAAAATTAGAATTACTTCAAGAGCTAGACTCCGGAAAGATACTGAACCATGCTATCGATGAAGTGAACGTTAAAAATGATCAGATGTGTCGTGCCAAGTGTTATATGAACCATGACTGCGTGTCATACAACCTTGGTCCTTCACCAACACCTGGAATGATGGTCTGTCAACTGAACGACGCTGATCGTTACCAATACCCAGATGATTACCAGGAAAGACCAGGATACTCGTACAGAGGAACAGAGGTACGACTGACGTTTTTTGGTGTTTAGTTCGATGATATTTCCAAAAAAAAAAAATTACTCATTCACAAAAACAAAAGTGCGCTGTAGTCTTCGAATTTCTTTACAATCAATTTCCAATCGACACTTGGCGCTCACGAAAGTGTGCGATTTGTCGGCAAGGCAAAATAGGGTTTTTTTGAACATAAATCACGACGTTTTCGTGACAAGTTTGGAAAACAGTAATAATAAAAATGACGCATGTTCTGACACGGAAGTAAATTACCCACAAGATAGAGCTTTTTTTCTGATTAGATATGATTAAAAAATAGGTTTTTTGCTTCTCAGTCTTTGGTGGTCAAACACGGCATTAAAAATGAGTTGCATTTTTCTCCAGAACAAATGTGCCGAGAATCCCTGCACAACTGCAAACCAAACCTGCCAAACTGGGTTCAACACTGAAGGATATCGATGCTTGTGTCCTAAAGGAAGCACTGGAGTAAATTGTGAAATAGGTATGTGATATGGTTCAGTTCTATGTACCAATACCCAGATGATATTACGTACGGGAAAATATTTGGCTCAAGGTCATGTCGTACGGACCGAGCGCAGCGAGTAAATAAGCATTTTATCATATGACCCTCACGAAAATAAAAATAATAAAAAAAAGAAAGCGCGCGGATTCGAGCAGGGCCGGACGGGTTTTTCCGGCCCGCTTACGTCAACCCGTCCGGCCCCCATCACGTAACTTTTTCCAATGGTTTTATTAGAGCGCGCGAGCAGGGCCGTACGGGTCATATGATAATCCATCTTACCGTGTGTCTGCGTGCCAGACCCTAAGAACGTCTGCATAGGAAGCTACTTATTAGAAATGCAAAGCAATCCTGCATCTTTACCAAAAAAGTCAGGCGAGTCTAATAATGTTTCCATTTCTGATCACTAAACTGGATTTTTTGTTTTCATTTTTTTTTTTTTTTTAGATATCGACGAGTGTTCCAATAATGGTCATAACTGCTCTCTCTACGCTGAATGTACTAATGAACCTGGTTCATTCCAATGTAGATGCCTTCCTGGTTACCTTGGAGATGGCGTATCCTGCATAGGTGAGTCAGTAAAAATCAACTTCTAAACGTTTTCATTCCAAAGGTCAAACGGAGCTCTATATGGAACTTAAGGTGAATTTGATTAACCATATCAACTCTGGACGGTTAAATATTACTGCCGTAAGGAGCATCGTGCGGTCGCGTCGTTGTTGGTATAGTACAAACAGAGTCAAGTACAGAAAGGCCGTTAAAGAAGTAACGCTCATCGGCTATTCAAACCGTTTGACCTTTGAAAAAAACCTATAGAAATCCAACCACATTCGGTGTCCTAGTGCCCTTGCTCTGTGGAATCCACTGTTAATCCCATTACTATTATGGCAAGTTTTATTTGTCTGTATATATCATGTTTACATTGACCAGCGGACTAAGTCTAGGCTGGTTAAGTTCATCATTTTTTTTC